TCTCCCATGCACTTGGATAGGTAGGATCAACATAATAAAAATGGCAATCTTACAGAAAGCATTATACCGATTTAATGCAATCGCCATTAAAATCCCAGCACAATTCTTCACAGACCTTGAAAGAACAGTTCTCAACTTTATAAAGAAAAACAAGAGACCCAGGGTAGCCAAAACAATACTATTCAAACAAGGCAACATCCGGAGGTATCAACATCCCTGACTTCAAGCTCTATTACAGAGCTGTAGTCCTGAAAACAGCTTGGTATTGGCACAAAAATAGACAGGTAGACCAATGGAATCGAATTGAACACCCTGATATTAACCCTTACATGTATGAACATCTGATCTTCGACAAAGAAGCTAAAAGTATACAATGGAAAAAAGAAAGCATCTTCAACAAATGGTGCTGGCATAACTGGAGGCTGGCATGTAGAAGACTGCAGATAGATCCATGTCTATCGCCATGCACAAAACTTAAATCCAAATGGATCAAAGACCTCAACATAAATCCAGCCACACTGAAACACTTAGAAGAGAAAGTGGGAGGTACCCTTGAACGAATTGGTACAGGAGAATGCTTCCTGAACATAACACCAGTAGCACAGACAGTGAGGTCAACAATAAATACATGGGACCTCCTGAAACTGAAAAGCTTCTGTAAGGCAAAGGACACAGTCAGCAAGACAAAAAGGCAGCCCACAGAATGGGAAAAGATATTTGCTAACCCCACATATGACAGAGGGCTGATCTCTAAAATTTACAAAGAACTCAAGAAGCAAATGTTCAAAACACCAAAGGATCCAATCAAAAACTGGGGTACAGAACTAAATAGAGAATTCTCAGTAGAGGAGTCTAAAATGGCAGGGAGACACTTGAGAAAGTGCTCAACATCCTTAGCCATCCGGGAAATGCACATCAAAACAACTCTAAGATACCATCTCACTCCTGTCAGAATGGCTAAAATCAAAAACTCCATTGCTGGTGGGAGTGCCAACTGGTTCAGCCACTTTGGAAATCAGTGTGGAGATTCCTCAGAAAAATGGGAATAAACCTACCACAAGACCCAGCAACTCCACTCTTAGGCATATATCCAAAAGATGCCCATTCATACAACAAAGAGGTCTGTTCCACTATGTTCATAGCAGCTTTATTTGTAATTGCCAGAACGTGGAAGCAACCTAGATGTCCCTCACCCGAAGAGTGGATAGAGAAAATGTGGTACATCTACACAATGGAGTACTATTCAGCAGAAAAAAATAATGGAATCCTGAGATTTGCAGGCAAATGGATGACACTAGAAGAAACCATCCTGAGTGAGGTAACCCAGTCACAAAAAGAGAAACATGGCATGTACTCTCTCATATATGGATTTTAGACATAGATCTGGGGAGTGCCAGCCTACAATCCTATGGCCAGAGATACTGGGAAACAGAAACTTTATTTAGTGGCTGATCGAAGAAGAGGCAGACTCCCTTGGTTAAGTACTGAGCTGAACTCAAGAAAGCCAGTAACAGAGAGGGAGGACTGATGATCAAAGGGATTAAGACTGGGCTGGTTTAACCCCCAGAAACAGCTGACCAGACAAAGGTTAACTCTTGAATCCCAGGCATTAGCCTGGGAAGCCAGCATGGGACTGATCAAGACCCCCTGAATCTGGGTGTCAGTGAAGAGGCCTAGGGAATCTATTGAACCTTGGGCAGCAGATCAGTACCCATCCCAAGTATACACACGGACTTTGGACTCCAATAGAACAATGTGAGGTGCACTCTCACCCAGAACTCTTGGGAAAGGGTCTAGGCCCTGCCCTATATGAAATGACACACTATGGACACCCCCATGGAGGGCCTCACCCTCCCTGGAGAAATGAGAGGATAACGGGGGAGGGGAGGGGAGGGCACGGGAGGAAGGGAGGGAATGGGAGAGGGACCTGGAACTGACTTGTGAAGCAACCTTGATTCTTATCTAAATTTAAACTGGAAAATAAAATAAAAAAAAAGAAGTCAATTTGCATTGGGATTGCACTTTGTAAACAAATGGAATAGAGATGTTTTGACAGATCACTGAAAGAGAATTTATGTTTGATTTTTAACTTGCCCTTTCAATTGACCACCCCTGGGACATTTGCACTATGGAACAATATAATATAAATAAGCTGTTGGTGAAAAAATAATGGATTTTCATTGTTGGTTAATTGGGAGGAATTAAGATAAAAGAACATACTGCCTTTGCCACTCATAATAGGATTCTGACAGCAGACCACGTTTTTAAAGTATGGAGAAGTATTGGATCTGAAGATTGATTGCTGCAAAATAATTCTGGTCTCCTCTTTGGAATGTACTTTATGTATTCCCAAGTTTTTGATGACTCATTTTGACTCTCAGTTTCTAAACTATGTGTTTTGTTTTGTTTTGTTTTGTATATTTGAAACAGGGTTTCTCTGTAACTTTGGAGGTTGTCCTGGAACTCACTCTGTAGACCAGGCTGGCCTCAAACTCACAAAGATTGGCCTGCCTCTGCCTCCCCAGTGCAGGGATTAAAGGCGTGTGCCACCAATGCCCAGTTCTAAATTGTTTTTTCCCTCAATATATGTTTTTATTAAAATTAGAAACATGAATGCTTTACATGCCAATCCCAGCTCCCTTTCCCACCTCTCCTCCCTTGTCCCTCCACCTGTCCCCTTACCTCCCACCCCATCCCCATATCACTCTCCATGGAGGGTGAGGCCCTCCTTGGGGGAATCTCCAAAGTCTGTTACTTAATCCAGGGCAGGACCTGGCCCTTCTCCATGTGTCCAGGCTGAGAGAGCATCCCTTTATTTGTAATGGGCTCTCAAAGATCATTCATACACCATGGTAAACACTGATCTAAATTGCTTTTTAAACTGTCCAAGACTCCATCCATCCCCAATCCTCTCTATACTCTAGAAGAAGATTGCTACTGCATATAAATTGTTCTGCTGAACATTTTTGCAAGAACAATCATGCTTAGTTTTGAAGCAACTCTGTAAGGATGACTAGATTCATGCACAGAAAGGGTAATTTGTCTGGATCCTAGAAGTCACAAATGGCCTGGTCAGGTTTTGGACTCCATTGAATTCCTTCTTTTTCTTCATTCTTTTATTAGGCTAGTATCAACTTTGGATAATACAGTTCCCTATAATTCCATGTATTGGTCTTCTATAAATGTTCACAATGGTATTACTCTGCCTTTTTCTAATTCATAAAAACAACAAAGAACTCAATGTAAATAAATCTTCCCAAACCTTCACAGGAAAAAAAACTCCAGTGACAGTTTATGCTGGAGAGAATGTGGAGAAAGGGGAATACATCTCCACTGTTGGTGGGAGTGCCAACTCGTACAGCCACTTTGGAAATCAGTATGGAGATTCCTCGGGAAAATGGGAATCAGTCTACCACAAGACCCAGCAATTCTGCTCTTAGGCATATACCCAAAAGATGCACATTCATACAACAAGGACTTTTGTTTCACTATGTTCATAGCAGAATTATTTGTAATAGCCCGATCCTGGAAGCAACCTAGATGCCCCTCAACTGAAGAGTGGATAGAGAAAATGTGGTATATTTACACAATGGAATACTAGTCAGCAGAAAAAAATGGATTTTTGAAATTTGCAGTCAAATGGATGGCACTAGAACTCTAACTCCCTGTTCCCTTCAAGTCTGAGACTTATTAATATAAAATTGTAATTCATCCAGTCTCACAATAAAGGCTTTTTATATTCTTTGCTTTTTTGACAGTTTTAGGCCTGGTTTCTGGATGGAAGATGTTTGTCAAATTAGACTGCTTATGCAAATTTGGACCTAAAATTTTGTGCCATCGAGGGTAGACAGGCAGGAAACACTTGTATACAAATCTCATATACAAGTCAAATACTAATAATAAATCATAAAGAATTTTACTTTAAATGATTATCTATATAACTACAACAGGGCCCCAGACATTAGTAGGTCCCTAAACCTTAGCACAACTGACTCCATGATGGAAGTCCCATTTGGATGATAAAACTCAGCATGTAGGCAGTACCTCCTGCCAAATGAAAACAAACACCTAATCCATCAAAGTCCAAAGTTCTGCCAAAGTCTCTTACTGTACTAACCTTGCTTTTTTGGCATCTATAGTCCTGCTTCTGGCTAACTCTTCTTGTTAGCTGACATGGTTTTTGTGTTTAAAAGGTCAACCTGAGAAAGGTTTGGGGTTTGGGGTCCCAAACACTTGAACTCCTGACCAAGCAGTTTTTCTGGTGGATACTCCACAGCATGTACCTACATATATATGATTATACTATTTGTTAAAATGAAAAACAAGTCTTCATAGTTACATACATATGCTTATTTTTCTTTTTACCCAGAATTAAATCATGGCCTGATTTTATTTTGCAGGATGTAATGAACCAGCCAATATTTTTCAGAGTTGAGCATTAGTTTGATTTCATAATTTCCAACAATATGAATGGTGCTTCAAGTAATAGGTAGTACAAAAAGATGGTTTATTTAGGACCTTATAAGAAGAAATTGGAAATTATATCCTAATATGATAGTTTATTTTATTATCTTATTTTTATTGATATCTTGCTCCACCTCTAAATTGTCTTAAAATGCATTCTTAGACATCGTCAAGATCCTGTCTTAGACCCAAGGAAACCCCTCAGCTCAGAACCAACTACTGGTCTGTTTCTTGAACAAGTCTGAGAACTAGCATTTTGCTTCAAGCAGTTTTTTTGGGGAGGGGGCTACACTACTTATGGCAACTGTCATCATTCCATGGGGTGGATCAATGCACAAGTTCATGCCCATACTCCACCCCTTGTGTGCTTAAACTAGAGCCTCAACCAGGGTTGTGAGTTGAAAGCCAATAGCAGCGGAGGAGAGGCGAACGTGTGCGTGCTTAGAGGGCCGTGTGCAACGTGGCGTGGGGGGGGGGAGTAACGATTGCAGGCTGTGCAGAAGCCACAAGGGTGCGCCTTCTGAAGAGCTCGAGTCATGGCCCGCAAGTACTTCTACTTTGACTACGACTATTATGGAGTTAGTTTTTATGAGGAAGAAATAATGACCGAGCCCGAGGAAAGGTTGTGCTACTCAGCAAGCAGTGGCACTTTTGACCAAGGAGTCATAGAAGCCCTGAATAAGCTACGTTGTGAGAGCGACCAGAGCTCTGTAGGCAACCATAGCTACGAGGGCTGTGACACGAATAAGCATGAAGAGCTGGACATGGCCAGGAGCATGACCGTAGCCAGTGACCAGCCATCATTCAGGATTCCTCGGAAACCGTACAAATTCACGCCTGGACAGCTGTGGGAACTTCAGGCAGTTTTTGAAGAAACTCAGTACCCAGATGCTCTCAGACGGTATGTATCTGGTATGTCCTTCTGGACTTTGGGCTCCTTTTCCTCTCCCTTGGCCTCTCCTCACTCTTGTTAAGAGTTTTTAATGTCTTTGAAATTCAGCTATAGACTCACTCATAACTTTGTCACTGAGGTGCAAGCTCCTCAGCGAGTTTCCCGGGCACGGAGCCTCGATGGGCGCCATGGAAGTGCGCCCTCTGGCGAGTTCAGGACATGAGCTCACTCTGAGGAAGGAATAACTGCTGAACCTGAGCAAAGGGGTGGCCTACACGGCAGGCAGTGGCAGCTTTTGCAAAGGAGTCACAGGCTCCCCGCATGAGCTGCGTTGTGAGGGTCACCAGAGTCCTGTAGATGACCATGGCCTCTTTTTAGTTTTGTTATGAAATCTGGGTCTGAGTTTTGCAGGCAGGCCTTGAACTAGCTCTGTATCCCAGTCAGTCCGTGTATTTAATGATTCTCCTGCCTCAGCCTCTTCAGTAGCTGAGATTACTAGTTTGTGTCATCAGGGTTGACTTCCTTCCCCTCTCGGCCATGATACCAAAGTCTCTACCTTTCTATATAACGATGTTTAGGGGAGTTGTTTTCTAGAGATCCTGGCTGGGGGTTGTTTTCTCCATTCAGTAAAGACTTTAAAGGCAGGAACGATCCCAGGCATCAACAAGAACAAAAGAGAAGTAGGAAACACACACAGCAAGACATGCAGAAAGAGTATCCCCACAAAGTAGAAAGGGGAATCTGAAAATGAAATCTGGAGGGCTGGGCTTTTCAGCTGACCAATCCTCTAATAAACTGAAGCATGTTTAGGACAGGCCTTGAACATGCCTGACCAGGTTGGAGCAATCAGCCAAAGGCAGGAGAAAAGCCCACTAGGTAAGAAAGGTTAAGAAGAAGTGGGAAGTTTGCTTTTTTGTTAGCTTGGGGAGTCTTTCCCTACCTGTCTGCAGGTCAGGGATCTGTCTGACTCTTAGTCCCTCAAGAGAATGCCTCTTAGGTGCATCCTTGGTGTAAATCAGGTTTCCAAAATGCTCACTGAGTACTTCTTTCGTTCCTTTTGTTTAAAAAGTATAATTAGCTGTACCTAGTGGTACAGGTCTTAATCCCAGCCATACGGGAAGCAAATCAAGGAAGATAGGAACTTCCAGGTTTAGCAGATCTCAGGAGCATGCTCAAAGCTAGCATGAGAAGTTTAGTGAGACTTGAAAATAAGACTGAAAACATATAAATATAAAAACATGCAACTCGGTGGTAGACCCCTTGCATTGCATGTGGGGGACTGTAGGTCCAATTCCCAATGCTGTAAAAATGTGTATGGTCTGCATGCGGCATATTTAGATATTTATTTCTTCAAGAGTACATTAACAACTGCTGGACAGCACAGCACTTACAACAGCCTTTCATTTTCAGACAAGGAAACAATACACTTCTTTCCTCCCCTCATACAGTACATCCCTGCTACAGTTTTCCTTTCCTCCACTCCTCTCTGTCTTCCCCACAGCTCCCCCTCCCCCAGATGTACTGCTCCTCCATCTTCTAAATAACGCTCCTTCTAAGGATTATGGAAGAGTGTACTCGGAGAGGTGCGAGGGGAGATATCTCGCTGTCACTGTGTTAATGTGATTGTAACTATTTCTTTTATGAACTTGGAAGCCCTGTGTTTGGTGCATAAATGTCTAGTGTGCTTTTTCTCTCTCTCCACAGAAAAGAGCTGGCTGAGCTCATGAATGTGGATGAACAGAAAGTGAAGGTCAGTCAGCCTGCGGATTTACTTTACCAGGGTGCTGATCTCAGACTTGCCTCAGCACATGGGTGAACCTATCCTAGGCATGCACAATTGCTGTATTTGTTCCTTGTGTGTTTTATGCTGAGAAATAAGATGTGGACTATGAGACCTTGGCAAAGTGTTTCTACCCCATGACTGGCAGTTACATACATTCCAAAAGCAAAACAAAATAAGTAGCATCCCCCTCTCTCTTTCTCTCTCTCTCATATAATATATACTATGTGTGCAGAACATATATTTTGTACACACATATGTGTCACAAGGAATCAAATGTTAATTATAGCTCAAATACATATAACTAACATTTGATTCCTCATGAAACTCAAGAGTCCTTCACAGGGGTCTTCTGCTGGCCATCATTTTGAAACTCAGGGTGACTTGGAAATGAACATGTGGTGGCAGGCAGTAACTGGGTCACAAGAGATCACATATGCTCTTGGTAAAAGATTAAATTTGAAAGAAAAACTGTGAGTGAAATGGCATAATTGAGCCATAAAATAGACTTTCATAAACTAGGGCCTTTTCATATTAGGTGAGACCAATATGGAAAGAGAACTTAAAGTCCTAGAGGGTGAGTTTCTTCATCGCTTTTAGGAGGTTTTGAAGATGAGATCCAAACGGTAGCAGTTTTAAATTTAAGTTTCTGGCATCGCTACACTTGTGTCCAGGAAAAACATTTGCCACAAATTCCCTCTAGGGTGGAGGAGTCAGTTCTTGGCTACAACAGGAGTTCGTGACCACCCTGGGATGCATGGGACCATGTCTAATGAAAATTTTAAAAAGAATGACTGTAAGCCTATGCACAGAGAGCTTAGCCCATGGCTCTAATTGTGTAAAGTTGTGCAGAACTAAGGGTGTGATATTGTATGTTACATGATATTTTTCTTTGCTTTTCTGGTGGTGGAATACAAAGCAGGAATTAAAAAACTGTAGGCAGCCGGGCAGTGGTGGCACACACCTCTAATCCCAGCACTTGGGAGGCAGAGGCAGGTGGATCTCTGGGAGCTTGAGGCCAGCCTGAACTACAATGCAAGTTCCAGGACAGCCAGGACTGTCTTGAAAAACCAAAAAGAAAAAGAAATTGTAGGCAAGTCCATGACCATGCATGACTACTAGCTGCAGCCATGCAAAACATGTGAGCATTTAGAAACTGCATTGTGGGTTCAAAAGAGATTCCTGGAGGCAAATTGTACTCCTTGATGTGTTTTCCCACCAGAGCAGCAACTGCTATAAATATGCTAATGTCATCCCTCTCTCCCTCTGACTTCAGGATTGGTTTAACAATAAGAGAGCTAAACTGAGGAAGAATCAGAAGGTAATAAAGACAGGCAAGCACTCCGCTTCTACCAAAGAGAACCCTGACATGAAGGCTTTGGTGGAGTCCAAGAACATCATCATTCTCCAGGAGCAAGTCGGGGATGGGCTCTTCTGGTGTCGCCAGAACTTTGACACCTATGCTGGCCAGGAGATCCCTATCTCTCTCCTCTTACGCTAACAAAAAATACAGAGTTTTCCACTTACTGCTTGTGTGTTTCCTTCACGGAAAAGGATATGTTTTGCTCCAATTTCTACAGAAGGCAGATCAGAGCAGGTGGGGGGGAAGGGCTGGAACACATAGTGGTCACACCCTTCCTGGCAGAGCAAGGGAAGGCTCAGCAGCATCCATGGGCAGTACTGCCCTTGCTTCACATTCTGCTGCAGCCTCCTAGGGAGGATGTAGGGGGCTCTCCTGGGACCTATGGATCAGTCCCAGAGTCCTGATTGCCCACATGGTCTTGGGGGAAGGGGATGCGAGCAGAATCAGGAGGCCATGAGCATGAGCACTGGGCACTGGCAGCAACAGTTGTTGTGTGTGTCTAAGAAGCAAACATTAAGCACAAAACAGCAAATCTGTCCAGAGCACAATAAAGAACCGGAAACTGGGGGTGGGGCTTGGGAAGGGTTACTTTCTTTGCCACTGCTGTGGCCAGGAGGCTGTAAGGAACATGCACACGTACAATTTCTTCACATTTTTATCTTGCTATTCCTTGCCCCTACTTCATCAAATTCTCATTTCATCATTTTTCACAGAGAGAACTGTTCAGAAGTGACGTCACCTTGTCAAAACATTAGAAGCTGTTTTTAAGAACTCAGTGGTGTTGACATGCCATGGCTGGCTGATGTCCATGGGAGGCCTGCCTTTTTCTGAAGAGAGAGGAGGGGGAGAGGCTGGAGAGGGCCTGGGAAGAGAGGAAGGGAGGAGAAAAAAATGTGACTGGGCTGGGGAAAAATTACTTAACTTTTAAAAAAGAAAATAGAAAAAGAACTCCCTACTGTGGCCAGGGAGATTGCTCAGTGGGTAAAGGGACATGATGATATTCCTGAAGATCTGATTTCAATCCCTGGTTCCCACATGATGGAAGGAAAGAGCACACCTCCCAGATTTTCCTCTGACAGCCACATGTGTAGGTATTGTGCCATGCTCACACATATGCTTATGTAAGCACAATTCTAATAAGAAAATGTAGTTGAGAAGTAATCTGACAATTGACTATATCATATGTGTCAGGCCAGTAGTTGTCAACCTTCCTAAAGCTGCGACCCTTTAATACAGTTCCTCATATTCTGGTGACCTCACAACCATGGAATTATTTTGTTGCTACCATATAACTGTAATTTTGATACTATTATGAATTGTTATGTAAATATCTGTGTTTTCTGATGGTCTTAGTGAACCCCCGTGAAATGGTTTTCAGCCCCCACTGCTGTGTGCCCTCTCTAGCATCTCTATCCTTATTCACATTCCTGTGGGCCAACATGACAATCCTGAGGTGAACCATGAAAGGCAGGTGTAGGCAGATTGCTCTGTCCCTCCTGTCAACCCCCAAGTCATCACACGGAGACTGACTTTATTATGAAAGTTCGGCCGACAGCTTAGGCTTGTTTCTAACTAACTCTTATAACTTAAATGAGCCCATTTCTTTCAATCTATGTTCTTTTACACGACTAGCTTACCTTTACTTTGTAATACCCATACTGCTTCCTATGCATCTGGCTGGTGCCTGTCTGAATCTTTGCCCTTCTTCCCAGCATTCTCTATGCCCTGGAAATCCTGCCTGGCTATTGGCCATTTAACTTTTTAGTAAACCAATCAGTGTGACCCATATTCACCGAGTAAAGGAATATTCCACAACAGGCAGGGGCAGTTAGTTGTAAAGAAGTCCTTAAGTTTCCTCATATATAACAGTAGCAAACAGGGGTATGTATAAGCCTATGGACTTTTGAGGGGAGGGGATTATTTGGGAAGGAACATAAAACTACATCGAGGTAAAGATGTCATTAATGGTTCCTTGAGCAGATGTCCTGGATTTCATGTTGTAGCTTACACATCTTTTTAAATGATAATGGGGACTTGGGGAGATGGCTCGGTGGTTAAAGGGCACTTACTGCTCTTGCAGAGGGCACAGGCTTTTTTCCACCACCCACTTAGTGATTTACAACCATCCATAACTCCAGTTAAACTCCAGTCCCAAGGGATTTGACATCATCTTCTGATCTCCACAGACACCAGGCATGCACATGGCACGCACACCTACATGCAGGCAAAACACTCATACACATGAAATAAAGACAAATCTTTTAAAAGATACTGATGTTTATTTTATTGATTTTGAAACAAGTGTAGAGAAAAAATTGTAAATGAGCATAGCTTACTCCATATTGATAAAGGGAATCAGAAGTTCGGGAAAAGTGGAATGCTGGCATCGATTTATCCTAAAACTCAGACTTCTGCATAATGGGAAGGCCCTGGGCATTGTTCTTCAAGAACACTACAGCAAACAGACTCATGAACCAGCATGACTGAAGAGCTCTGTGAATGCTGTTCTCTGCATGTGACACTTCACAGTGGCAGTCAGAGGTCACAACTGAATAAATCAAGTCCACAAAGTCTATGTTGATCCAAGAGTAACATGGGCCAATTGGCAACACTGAACCTCCAAAGGCAGGTGAGTGATCAACAGAGACAAAGTAGTGATTCTAGCAGATGGATGGATGCATGTAGACTTAGCGTGTTGGCACACGCATCTGCTATTTACAGAAGTGAAACCCTTAGAAAGCTCACAAATTATCCTCGGTCTGTACCAGTAACAACTCTCTAGAGTCATAGGGTGTACATGGTGAATGGGCAAACGCCACTCTTGTCACATTGCCAAGGCTTAGTAGGGGACAGTGTGACATGCCTGGATGAAGCCCTGACTAGTATCATGTAGCCAGGCATAAGAACTATGCATTCATATCCTCATCTTATATATACGGAAAATAAAACAGAGAGGTCAAGTGACTTTTCCCAAAATCACACAGCAAGTGGAGAATGAAATACAACAGTCCTGGAAGAAACTCTGTATCAGTTGATCTGAGCAAGTGGAAGTTCACAGACCCCAGTCTGACAGTTGGGAAACCAGCATAGGACTGAACGAGGCCCCCTGAATGTAGGCATCAGTTGGGAGGCCTGGGCAGTCTATGGGCCTCTGGCAGTGAAAACAGTATTTATCCCTAGTGCATGAATGGGCTTTTTCGAGCCCGTTCCCTATGGAAGGATACTCTCTCAGCCTAGATTCAAGGGAGAGGGTCTATGCCCTGCCCCAAATGATGTGACAGACTTTGAAGACCCCCCATGGAAGGCCTCAACCTCCCTGGGGAGCAGAAAGAGGATGGGATGAGATGAGGAGTCGGTGGGAGGCGTGGGAGGATGGGAGGGAGAGGGAAGTGGGATTGATATGTAAAATCCGATTGTTTATAAGTTAAATTTTAAAAAAAGAAACTCTGTATCAAAAAATATGGACTATCAGAAGACACCAGGAAAACATGGTCCACTGACTCAACTGAGCAGTGCTCACACAGACTCACAGAGACAGCATGACAGGGACTGCAAGGGTCTGTACCCGGTGTCCTCTGTGTCAGCTTGGTGTTCTTGTGGGACTCCTAACAGTGGAAGCGAGCCTATTTCTGACTCTTTTCCTGCTCTTGGGACTCTTTCCTCTTGTCCAGCCTCCCTAGGAGGGCTTTTGACTTGTCTTATTGTATCTTTCTTTGGCCTGTCTGACTGTCCCATCGTGCAGGTCTGCTCTTTTCTGAAGAAGAAATGGAGCTGAGTGGATCTAGGGAGATGGCCAGTGGGATGGGGTAGGGAGTGGACGAAGGAGAAACCGGGGTCAGGATGTGTTGTTGCATGAGAGAGGAATCTATTTTCAATAAAACTATAAAAAGGATGTGGATTTTACCTGAAGAATGACACCTAAAGTTAGCCTTATTCTCCACATCCATTAAGCATACACATATATAAACTCACTGTGACGGCAGACATCCATGCACACGAACACACACCTACACATAAAAAATGACATTTCACATCCAATAGTGTCTTCAGTTTTTCAAGTTCGTTTACCTTAGATGCCTTCCAACGTTCCATCATTTTCTTTATAGTATTTATACTGGTATCTGATGAACGATTTGCCTGGGTGACTTTTGGGCTTCTCTTGTGTGAACGGAAATTCATGGAGAGCTCAGGGATTGAACAGAGGGGATGAGCCTTCCCAACAAAGGACTCCAGGAATTTTCTGTGTGTCCTTTCTTGCACACTCCCCCTACCTCCCTGGTGGACACTCTCCCGGAAGGATTTTGCTGCTGCGCCCCTCTTGCCCTGAAGCTTCAGTGGAGTTTTAAAAGACCAGATTCCTTTCTATTAATCAACAGAAAAGAAGTAGGAACAGGCAGGTGACACAGAAACTATGGGAACAATAGGATGCACAAGGAAAAGAGCAAGATTCCCCTGACATCATATGCCAGCCTACACCCTCCCGTTGCCACACCCCAGAACTGCAGCAGGAAGGCAGAAAGCTAGACTTTGAAGTTCAGCAACACTAGCTGCTTCTCTTCCTGCTCAGACTTCCCGTCTGTGAGGTCTGAAGGACTTTATGGGCTCAGAGTCACAAGAAGTGGGAAAAGGCACTGGACATTCGGAACCCACCCCAGCCCAGGTACAGCATCTCCATTTAGCTCTGCTCATCTGTAAGTACACTTCCTCACTGGCAGGCTCTGCTGGGGCCTGGGGAAGGAGTGATGGAGAGAGGCACCTGTTCTCTGATGGTGTAACTGAAAGAGGTCTCTGTTTTCAGTGTGGCTATGGGAACGTGCCATATGACTGGGGAGGGAAATTGATGATTAAAACAGGCAGTCTCTTAAGAATTGCTGTGCTTGTATTTGGCCCTTTGGACCTTGTTGTGCCCCTCTAGTCCTCCAGAGGGAGACATAAGCTGCTGGCTTGGTCGCCCAAGTCTGCTTCTGTGTGGTTCCCATGCAGTCAGCTGTCTGCCCCAGACCTTCCTTCAGAATTTCTCCAGGCTTTGGCACTTCGTCAGTCCCGCTTGGAACTTCTGCATAGGTACAGCAGGATACATGGGCCTGAAAGCATCAATCAACAGAAACCACATGGCAGTTTTAGGTTACCTGTTGTTCAGTGTCCA